TAATTAAAATGTCTTATAAAAGGCTGTCGTGAATGTTGAAACCTGCTCTAAACGTGCAGAAATCTTGGTTCCAACTGCTGGATTTTTCCTCCCCCTCCAAGTGTATTCTGTCAGCCTGAAAACGAGTTCACTCAGGCTGCCGGCAATACGAACTCACCGGGAAAACCCATGACTCCTCTTAATCTGCCCAAAACCCACTTCATATTCAGCTTTCAATAAGCCAAGTTAAATATTGAAAAGTCAGTAGAGCCGTAAACTCACCATGCCCCTCCGACTTACTTCCACCACTATCGCCACTACATCCGCCGTATCTTCCCTCTTCATCACGGTCAACCACCACTTCTTCTCCACCATCGCCGCCGGAACTACCAATTTGTCAAAACTCCCCAAACCCTTCTCAAGAATCCCCTGGAAGCACAGGCTCCAAGTCATAAAGGAAGCCCAGAAGCAACTGGCGGACTACCTCCACGCCACCCGCTCGATACCCTTTCCTTATGCTGACCACATTGCCAACAACTGCCCTCATTCCCTCTCCAGTGTCGTCGCCGAGGTTCCTTTCTCTCCCTCCACCTTCCCCAAGTCCTTCCAACGCTTTCTCAGGTACCACCCCATTAACGAAGTCGACTTTTTCTTCGAAAGCATTGGCTTAAATTCTACTAAGAAAAACGAAGTTCCTAGATCCCCTTTACCCGTTAATACCTTATTTTTGTCTGATTGGCGGCAATTCAATGCTGCTTGTGCTCTTGCGGGGTTTGGATTCCCTTGGGTTAAGTTGGGCTTACTATATAAGGAGGATTGCTTGATTTTTGACATTGAGCCCCTGTGGTTGAATAGGAGGTTAAGTGGGATGAAGGATAACTATGGTTTTAGTAGTGTTGATGTCATTGGGATATGCTTGGCTTTTCCTCGTGTTTTGTATGGTGATATATGTGGGTTGCTTGACGATTTGAAAATCATTTTTGTTGATTATGGCTTGGCAAGTTGTGTGGAGGGCGATGTGGATGCTATGTTTGAGGTTTGTAGGAAAATTCGGGTCTTTTATGACTTGGGTTGTGAGATGGGGAAGGTTGGTGAGTTGATGGGAATAAATAAAAGCATTTTTGTTGAGTATCCAGAAGAGGTTTTGGTTGCGAAGATTGAGTATTTTTGCAGACTGGACGTTAGGAAGGATGACATTGGTTTGTTGCTTCTTTCGAGGCCAGAAGTTTTTAGTTTTGATTTGGAAGAACGGGTGATTTCAGTTTCTGGATTTATGAAACATTTCGGATTGAAAGCAACTGAACTGGAATCTCTTGAAAAGAAATACCCTCACGTTTTTGGTAGGAACAAAATAGCTAATCTGCCTCATGTCATGAGGTCGATGGATCTCGGACAGTGGTTCTTTGAGAGGATGAGCAGTGGAGATCACTCTTTGTTGCGTACTTATTCTATTGGAAGTCCAGATGAGGACTTGGATAAGGACTACACAGACAACTTAATGAAAATTCAGGCTACAAGAACACACTTCCATACTTTTGGAAAGTTGAGTTTCTTACATGGCATAGGGTTTGGAGAGAATAAGTTTACAGTAAAAGCCTTATCTAAACTGAACAGCAGTAGCAGCCAACTACAACAACGTTTTGATTTCCTGCTACACTATGGAATTGAATTCTCTAAAGTCTGTGGAATGTTAAGGTTGTCAGCAAAGATTCTGAACCAGCAAGAACGGTTTCTTGAAGAAAAACTTGACTTCCTTTGCCATGATATAGGATCCTCTCTACAGTACCTTGATGTTTTTCCAGGATATTTATGTTATCATTTAGAGAGACGAATTAAACCAAGATACAATTTCCATAAGTGGCTCGTGGAGCAGGGGTTGTGTAAGAAAGAATACTCCATCTCTAGCATAATAGCAACTAGTGAGAAACAATTCATTGCTCGCCTTTCTCGCATCCATCCAGCTGCCTCGAAGATGTGGTTAGAGAGTTCCCTAAACAAAGATGGTGGTGCTAGTTTTGAGGAGCTGTCAGTATCTTGAACTAATTATTTCTTGACTACCGATCAATGACTCTGTGCAGCAAGTTCACTGACTTGTAGATACTTCTTGGTGCTTGACTCACCACTGAAACCTTGGTACCTCAAGGAGTAGCCTTGGTATATAGTCGGGATATTGATTGGATGGTAACCTTCGATTTGTGTACATATGTAATGTAGGAGCAGGGAAGAAGTTTTTCTTTGGTTTGGCACATGAAGTTGGCCAACCATATTGTGTTAGGATTTATACCAGGATTGGCTGCAGTCTCATTCACTGGTTCTTTAGTCGTATGATCTTAATCCTTCTCTCTAGATGGGGGTCTAGCTTATTGAGCGCATTTTCTTTGCAGCTTTGAATATAATGTGAGAATGAATCACAAGGAAGTATGCTTTATGTGTATATTTTTACACTTTCCTCCTCCTATATGTTGAAGCAAGCTTCACACATCTCTTATTACGATTGCTTATTATGCTGACTATTTTGAATGCCTGTGAAATACATGATATTACGTCGTTTCCTTCATTCAATGTATAAAGTTATCCCTATATTTTTTTTGTAGACTTGGTTCAGGTGAAATTTGGAACAATGTTAACTGCACGTTCTCCTCACTGTTAGATGCACATTTAGGGGCTACCTACTTTTTTATTGTCAATTTATAATCATTACAAGCTATCCCTATTTTCAACAAATGAATCCATATAGGACCTGAAAATATAAAGGGCTGTTATATGGGTTTAGAGCAATGGTTATCATGATAGATATATGGCTATCTTGTGTTTAAGAGATAATCTTTCACTCTATCTTCCACATTGTTTTATTGACAAAACTGGAAAGTGGGACTATCTTCTAACTTTAGCTATTAATTTATTAGATGCGCATATTAACTTTATCAGTCTAAAAAAACCTTAGTCTGACTTTGTTATTGACCAATGAGGGAATGTTTCAACCAAGTCAACCCCTTGTGAACTTCAATTTATTTGAAGGCTTCAATGTCAAACATTTCCGTGCAGTGATCCCTGAAGTTCATTATTTTGATTTATTTTGGGTATCAATTTAATAACACCGAATATAATTCAAGAAACGAGTTTATATTCTCAATATGACAAAAAATAGTTTCACTCTTCTTTCCATATTGATTTGATTCAGACAACTTTTCACACTGGAAAACTATAAAATTGTTGTAGCCTACTCCATACTGATTTGAACGGTAAATAACTTCTCCCTTCTGTGTATGAGAATGCACTCTGGTGCCTCGGTGTCTGTTTGGCGGGCAGAGATTGGTTGGGTTGGGGGTGCTTTGC